ACCTCAGTGCCCCCCTCCCCCCCTTCTTCACCCCCTCCCTGCTCCTCTCACCGGCACTTGAAGTCGCAGGAGCCAGCGGCCAGGAGGACGTTGTTGGGGTGCCAGTCGAGGCTGAGCACCGTCGAGCGGATGGGCTTCTTGATGTGCTTGCAAACCCACCTGCGTGGAGAGCGGTTGGCATCGGTGCGGGGAGCATCACCACCTCGGGGAAGCCCCTGGGCTTTCGGGGCAGCTGGCTGAGGGTGGTCAGGGCTCCAAACTGCCCTGGGCCACCATCCTGCAGGAGCAGTGTGGGCACAGGGAGTACTCCCTCCATCTCTCCATTTGTCTCCAGCTCTTCTCTGTCTCCCCCATCTCCTGCATCACCTCCAGCTCCTCCAGCCTCCTATCTCCCAATCCCTCTCGCTTCCATCTCCCCATCCATCCAACCCTCCCTCCCTCCATCCATCCATCTCCCCCAGGACAGACCCAGTGAGGCCATGGCAGACCCTCACCAGTCATTCTCCTGCTCAAAGTAGCAGATGGAGATGAGCCGGGAGCCGCTGCCCACGGCAAACTTGTTCTCCTTGGGAGACCACTTGACGCAGCGGGCAGCCCGGTTGATCCGCAGGATGACCAGGGTGGGTTTCCAGATGTTGCCCTTCAGGGTCCAGACATAAGCGTTGCGGTCGGTCCCGCACGTCACCAGCCGGTTGCTCTCAGGGGCCCAGTCAATGCCTGGAAAGGCAGAGGGGGGTGATGGTGGCCCAGGGAGCCGTGGGGATGGGGAACAGGTCATTTGGGGCTGGAGGCCATTTGAAGGCAAAGCTGTTCTGTGTGGTCTCTGCTCCAGAGTCCCTCTTTGCTTTGCCCTACTGCCACATCCATCCCAAATCCTCCGACCCCATCCCTTTCCATCCCAAAGCATTCCATCCCAACACATCCCACCCCATCCCATCTCACCCTATCTCTTCCATCTGTCCATATCCCTTCCCATCCTTCCATCCCACCACACCCCATCCCACCCCATCCTACCCCACCCCATCCCATCCCACCCCATCCCATCCTTCCCGCTCCTGGGTGCCTTCTGACATTAAAAGATGTCAGGGCTAGATCAGGGCCAGGAGAAGTAGACATGACCTACTCCCTCTCCTCTATCCACTGCTCAACTCCCACCCAGAAGCTGCCAGTGTCACTGGGCGGGCCTGGGACCAGCTCTGGTCCAGGGAAACCTCCCATCTGTATCCCTGTCCCCTCTGTCAGCTGGGACTCACCCGTCACCTGCCCGTTGTGCTCCTTCAGCTCATGGACTTTGCTCCACTTGGCCCCGTCCTTGCGGTAGATGTGGACCTCGTGGTTGTTGGGGCAGAGGGCGATCTCTGCGGGGCGAGAGCAGCCAGGGCAAAGCCCTCCCCTGGGTCATGGGCTCTGCTGGGCGGGGGGAGCGGGGCCAGCCAGCACTGACCTGCCCCTTCCTGTGCTCCAAGCTCAGTGGGGCACGGTGGGACCCCACTGAGCCCCATCTGCACGGTGAGGTCCCACCGAGCCCCCTAGTCCCAGCCCCACGCTGCCCGAAAGCTGTCCCTGCTCCTGCAGACTGTCCCTATGGGGAAGGGAGAACTTCCCCCAGCCCCGACGGCTCAGCGCCCTCCCCTCCCAGCGTGTGGTCCTGTGGGGCTGATGGGATGATGGGATGGGACAAGAGGGGATGGGACAAGAGGGGATGGGATGGGATGGGATGGGATGGCTGCGGGTGCTCAGCTCCCATCCAGCCCCGCCTGCCCAGCCTGCCGGCCGGAGCAGAGAAAGCCCTTTTTGTTCTCTCCCACATCGGGAAATGCCATCGGCCGTGAATCACCCGGCTCAGCGCTCCGTGCTTCATCCTTCCCTCCCCACACCGGCAGCCACGGTTCGGGGCCAGCCACTGTGCTGGCACCCCCTGCGGCAGCGGCACCGGGGGGGGACCGGGGTACCCGTGCTGCCCCAGCCCCAAAATCTGTCCCTGTCAGGACCTGCTTCCCCAAACCCAACTGCCTTGTGCCGGGGGGCATCACCCACTGCGGGGATGTTCAGCCGGGACAGCAGGTGCTTTGGGCCATGCCTGGGGATTTTGGGATGGGGTGCCCTGGCTGTACTCACGGGTCCGGTCCTTGTTCCAGGCGTGGCAGCTGATGGGCTCCAGCAGGAAGCTGTGGTAGGCCATGGCTTGCGGGCTGGGGATGGAATGAGACCCCCACGGCTGTCAGGAGCTTCTGCTCCAGCCACGGGGACAAGCCCCCAGCAGGACCCCCATCTCCCAGCCCCACCAAGCATTTCCCTCCCACCAGGATCAGCCCCGTGTCGCAGCCCACTGCATCCCCTCTCCGCCAGGGAAGGGATTTCCCTGAGGATTTCCAAGCTCAAAGACTGCCCAAGCTCAGGGTGGGGGGCAAGGGAGGGTCCAGGTGGAGCTGGAGGAGACGTTCCCCATGGTGCTGCCCTGTGGCTGGGCACCCCACCCTGAATGTCCTGTGGTTGGGTGCCAGATGGGTGCCCATGGCCAGACAGCCCACAGCTGGGTACCCCATGGCCAGGCACCCCATAACTGGGTGATACACGGGTGTCCCACAGCCAGATGGGAAGCAGGGACTGCTCCCAGGGACTTCCAAACTGGCTGGCTGGACCTTGGTGGACATGGAGACCCCAGTGCTGGCACCTCCAGCCTCATGTGCATCCTGAGGGGCCCCTCCATGGGCAGCACCTCCTCCCTCCAGCTGCTCCCACCAGCCCCGTGGGTCTGGATCCAGTCACTCCTTCCCCACTTCTCATTTAGGAAGAGCCAAAGCCTTGCAGGGGCACATGCATCTCATCCCATCTGCATCCCAGCCACATCCCATCCTTTCCTATCCCATCCCAATCCGTGTGTCCTCAGCTCCAGCGAGCTGGTGACTGATCCCTTCCCCTGGCGGAACTCCCACCACTCCCACCAGCACCCACCAACCGCTCCAGTGCCGCAGGACGGAGCAGCTTCCCGCAAGCCCTCTCTGGGTGCCGCGGGACCGGGAAGGGCTCAGAGCAGCGGTGCAGCCCCTTGGCCACCCGGCTTGAGGTAACGCACAGATGTTTTTTGGGCGTGACGGACGCGGGGATTACTCACAGTTTGCCTCTTGGCTATTTTGGGAACTCCCTGAACGCTGCCCGTTTTCTTTGGCAGCTAAAGGCGGTACAGGGGAAGGAAAAAAAGTCCCTCCCAGCAAACCTCTGTCCCCAGACTGGTGAAAAGAAAATCCATGGAGCTTTTGCATGTGGAGAAATCCCAATGCCAATGCACGGCACTGCTCCACACTGAGGCTCTCGAGGGAGGAAAACAGGGATTTTCCGATGGCCACACAGGGCAGGATCGGGATGTGATGCAGCTCCGTTACCTCCCTGGCCAGCCCCAACGCTCCT